TCTCGCTCAACAGTTTCAAGGTATTTGACCAGTCACGGATACAAAAATGCACTCCCCCTTGCTACACCAATGCTTACTCCAGCCCATAAGCATAAACGTATTGAATGGGCACAAAATCACATGAATGATGACTGGCAAAATACTTTATTTAGTGATGAGACAGCTTTCCAGCTATTCCGCAACACAGTAAGACATTGGTATAAAAAACAACGGCCAATTCGTCCCATACCAAAAGACCGAAGTAAAATTTTTGCATGGGGTGGTTTTTGCATAAGAGGTAAAACAAGTCTTTTTTGTTTTAGGGGTATAATGGATGGAAAATTTTACACAAAAATATTAGAAAGACAAATTCCAGAGGTGTACAGTATGTTAGGAGATAGTTGGCGGCTGCAACAAGATAATGATCCTAAACATACTAGTCGGGTTGCTAAGGAATTTCTCAAAAATAATGTCCCAGAGGTTATGGACTGGCCATCCAATAGTCCGGATCTAAACCCATAGAAAACCTTTGGGCAATTGTTAAGAGAAATACAGAGTTGCGTAGACCAAAAAATCTTAATGAATTAGATGTTTTTTTGCATGAAGAATGGGTAAAAATTCCAAATAACCTCTTAATTAATCTTGTAAATTCAATGCCGCAACGTTGTAGGGAGGTTATTGACAGAAATGGTGAACGAATACCATATTAATTTTTTTTAATAAAGTCTACTATGTTTTAGCTTTAAAATAATACTTTTTATTTTTTGATTGGTTTATTGGTTAAAAAATTAACGTGACTTGAAAAATTGTCATTTTTTTTGCACACCACTGTATACTTTTTTATAAGAATTAATGATTATAAACATTAATAATAATATAATAATATAGGAATAAATAATAATAACATAATAATATAGGAATAATTTAGTAATATAATAATAAATATATCGAAAATTATGTGCAAATAAAATAATGAATTTAAAATACAAACCTTGAAACTCTCAAAAATCACGTATAATACACATAATGATTACAAGCAAATAATTAATCAATCATCATATTAATACTATTTATGCGTCATATAAGTGATTTGGACAAGTGAGCTTCATGTCGATCTAAGATATAATAGAAGCATATTCCAAAAAAAAATATTCCATTAAATCATATCTATTAAAACAATCCTTAGCATATGGAAACTGAAATATCTAATTTAAACAACTGATCTGAATACCTCAAAACAAGTTAAAAGTAATTGTAGAACAAGCCATGGCATTTACTGACAATGCATTTATGGAAGATTCTTTATGTCAATTAAGATTTTTCAAATCCTACAACAATTTAATTAAAAATTTTTACAAGCATTTCAGATTTTTATTATGGTATAGTGATATTTGTTAGTATTCATGCAATAGGACATGAAAAACTCCAAAAATATATTTTACTCTCAAAAAAGTATTTCTCAAGAAAAAACTTTTTTTATAAAAAGAAAAATTTTATAACAAAAAATCTAACTGTTTTATATATTTATCATAAAAAATCCCAAACATTAAAATTTTAACAAGTCAGGAACTACTAAAAAGTAAGCTAAACAAAATATTTACAAAACTACTCGAGATAAACAAATTAATTAAAAAGAAATATGGACAAGAAAAAATAAGCCTAAACCTACATTTAACAATCTTCACCCTTGGAGTTAAAAATGTAATTTTTTGACATTTGATTTGTAATATCTAATATTAGATTTATAATTTTTTAATATTAATATTTTTCATTTAAGGGAATCCACATACCCAAATTCTTTGTGAAGTGGCTAATTTTTACTTATTAAATATTTTTTTTTTATTGTTATACTTGCCACTATTTCTTTACCTCATAACAAAATCAAAAAAAGCCTAGAAAACGAAATAAATAAATTATAAAAGATCCTGATTTATATATGTAAAAATCTGAGCATCTCCTCAAAGAAAAGAACATTTTAGGCAACAATGTATTGCATCAAATATAAAACCATTAGAATGTAGTAAATAAAAAAATATTGATAAATAAGGTAAAAATATAAATACAATAAATACAAACTTATGAAAAAACAAGATCAAATACAATAGTAATATAATAGAAAGATAACAAATAATGATAACTAGAACAATGAAATAACAACTAGCACTGGTAGAAAGGCAACTAGTATTAGTGATATAACTATTAGCACTAGTAAGAAGACAACCAGAATAAGATTTCTATGATAATGTAAAAAATCCTAACATGAAAAAATTATATTCAAATTATTAATTGTTTTCTCAATTTCTTTCATATTATCAATGGTAAATAAATACTACCACCTAACACAAAAATGTCAAACTAATATTACAAAGTCATAATTTGAATACAAAAAAATTTAAGATACAAAAGACAATAAAACTCAGATGCTAAAGAAAATAGAACTGAAGAAAAAGTGAAGAACTGAAGGTAAAAACAGAGATACTGCTGCAAATTCTGCTGTAGCAGAAAATTTTATTTCAAATATACTTTATTAATAAAAATGCCTCAGGATACTCTCAGGAGTCAGGACTAAAGTTATTTATAGAATTTAAGGTTTGAAGATTACATCTATATCAAATACACATTTAAGCTGGATATTAATAAATAGTTTGACGCCATCATCTTACTACTTCCAATTGTTTCAATTCCATAAAAATTAAAAATTCCAAGTAAAAAATTGAATTTGAATTATAATCTTGATTATTAGATAGCCAATTATAAATTTCTTGTGGATTTATATTTTAATCAAGAAAATCAAAAACTTCCTTCTTTAATGAATAATGATTTCTATTATTTAGAATTTCAAAAATAAATTCTGTAATATTATGGTAAAATATTTTGGCTAATAATTTGATTACTTGTTGATGTCGTGAATTTCATTATTTCTTTTGTATTTCAATTATAATACCATTTTCATAAATAAATAAAAAAATGGTAAACTTACCAGTATAAAGCTTAACATATTCAATAGGAAGTATCAGGAACAGTGGTTTCTCTATGACCTTGTACAATTTGGAAGGCTAAACTACTATCATATGACTCTCCTTCCACATAAAAAGGTGGTTTACCATTTGATATAATTTCCCATAAAAGTACGCCTACACTGTATACGTCACTCTTCTTATTTAAAGAATAAAATCTATTACTGAAATTTTTTTGGATCCAAATAAGGATTACACCAAATAAATCTTTTTTCTTTTTAGTCAATGCTTCGATTCCTTTTCCAATTTAATAGTATCTTGATTGACTAATACATTATAAGAATGCTATAATAAGAAAATATAATATAAATTGTTAAGGTAAAATAATATAAATTGATGTAATAATATTTTATCAATAAATTGAATGAATTACCAAATCGCGATGTATTATGTCTTCATCATGCAAGCATGATACGGCACTAGCCAACTGAAAAGCAAGTTTAAGTTTATCTTCTCATGTAAGATTCTCGAAATTTCTTTCAAATAATTGTTAAGAGAATCACCATCAGCGTACTCCATTACTAAAAGATATTTCTTAATGCTGTTACTTTGATTCTCTAAAATAATAAAGAATTTATCACTTTAAATAAATTATAATATAATAATACACATTATTTTTTTTTAAAAAATATTTTATTAATTAATTACCTTGACCTGAAATAGTAAACTCCATAAAAGCTAATAATGTTATTATGGAAAGTAACTTCACGTTGAAGTTCAATCTATTTGAATTATACATAAAATAAATATGAATATAAATTATTTATTTACCAATACATATTTTATAATCACCTCATGATCAATATTAAGAAGAGATTTTAACGCAAAATATTGATACGATTTTTTCCAAACCGGTACCAATTTCTTGAATATTTTTTATATTCGTAATGTTTAATATGTTTTTTAGCAATAGCTTCATCTATCCACTTAAATAATTTGTTCATTTAAGACATTTTGAATATGTAAATAATATTGTTATGGAAAAGTTATATTTATTCAAGTACGAAAAAAAAAAGAGAAAAAAAGTTTTTTATTATACAATTGCAGGTCGATTATTTGAATATTAAAAAAATCTGATTTTAATCACATGAGCTATCATCATATTGCATATTTCACGTATTAAACTATGGTGGAATTAAGAATAAGTTTGGCACGTTCATTAATATTTTTCAATAAATATATGATTTATAATCAATTTCGTATAGTTCCTGTTTTTTTGTTAGTAGTATTTATGAAAAAAACTTTTGCCTTGATGAGAATTAATGTTATGTTAATCTTCTATTTTGTTACGTTTACGATAGGCTGCGGAAATCACCTGACCTGTGTATTTTGGTGACCCTAAAAAAGGCCCAATCATTGATACGCCCAATAAAATAGTTAAAAATAATGGTGTAGGTCTCAATGAAATCTAAGTGATGTAGAAAAAACGGATTACAAAATAAGTTTAGTATAAGACCAAATAATAATAAAAATCTAACCCAGAATTTCAATTTTTTACTGAGGTCAGCCGGATATTCATTCATGTGACTCAGCCGATCATTGAATAAGAATATAGACGCTTTATAAGAAATTTCCATTTAATATTTTACTTTGTTATACATTTTTGATCTTTTTGATTGGGCCGTTGTATTATATTATTTCAATGATAATTTCATTTCATTCTATTTTGATAAGTAAATACATGTACATTCGTTATATACTATAAAGAGACACTTTGTTTTACCCATTCAATCATATGTGATGATGATCCCGTTAAATTTGCTTTCAAATAAATTATTACGTTTTACATAAACAATAAATTATGTAACAAAAAATCCCTTTACAAACAATACAAATTTAAACACAAAGATATATTTTATTTTTAAACATATTTGTACTATTATTATTAAAGAAATTTTCGATTAATCCAACAGTTTCAGAATTCATTTATAAATGATTAAAAAGATTAAGTAATCAAGAATTCAAGATATATAATAAAACATTTTATTAAAAAGTGACTGGTAAATTTATTCATCATATAATACAAAAATTTTACTTGCACAATTTTCAAATTTTCATAAATGCGAGAAATCATTATGATCATTACGATCATCATCATCATCATACCCAATCTCGTTCTTGCTCAAAATGATAATTCCAAATATGATCCAAGTCAGGATGTTTTCGAGTTTTTAGTAAATGGTTTGACACCACTTTTAATTATCTTACTTTTTGATCGTTCCTCAAAAGATGGAAACCGATTTCAAATAATAAATATAATCGATGATTGTCTTATGGTACTCTTCGTGTTCGCTTTTCCACCATATTATAATTATATATTTTATTCAACACAATCAAATTTGGAGAAAATTAAATGGTTCTTATATTCTCTTATTAATATAATTGGTTTAATATGTAGTTTACAATTTTATAAGAAAAAAAAGACCGCACCTTTCTGGATTTTTACTTTTCCTTTTATCGCATTATTTTCTATCACTTTAGTAAGAAATGTAAGGAATAAACATTTTGATCGACCACCTACGAATTGTACTCAAAAATTTGAGGAAATAAATTGTATAATAACTTTATATATTATATATTTTATCATTTTTATTTATATCAACATAATTAGTCTTTATATAATTATGTATCATTGTTTAAAAAAATCATGTCAAAGATTAATAAATTTTATAAGAATAGCATACACAACCTCACTTATTATAATTATTCTTTTAGAAGGTTATATAGTTGCCGTATTACTTAGTAATAGTGTTTATTTAACTAAAGGATTATTAGGATTAATTGCTTTAGGAATTAGTAGAATAATTGAACATACTAGAGATCAGAAAGATAATGTTAATACTATGGTTTCTAAAATTATTAATGCACATTATTTTATGAAAGAGGATGATGATATTGACTCAATTACATAAAGTAATGTATATATTATATTATTATTATAAAAAGTTGGAAATTAAAACTTTTTTTCTATTTTCAAAATTTATTCACATTACAAATTTTTTTAACATTTTACAACATAATAATTAAAATGTCAACATTATAAACAATTTAATAAGCAAATATTACACGAATTCCATTCTAGGGAAATAAGGAACGGTTATAATTGAAAAAGGAAGCATTGTTTCATTGTGAATAATGCGCTTTTTCAATCGGAAATTCATTTCCAAAATAAGTTTATCACGTGATAATTAGAATTTATTAACAAGTGCCCATTTTATTTTCAATATTTAAATATTTAAATATTATTTTTTTTTGATTTATATGAAGAATATTAGATATGTGTACACGTTATTTAAAAGTTTTTATTGATTGAAATCAGTTATCAATGTAAAAAAAAAAAATTTTTAAAATTTGTATATATTAAAATGTAAGCATTAGTTATAACTTGACATAGCAATACATAAAAGATTTATTATATGTTACATAATTAAAATTAATTTAAATTTTCAGAACTAATAATAGTGCAGCCGTGAAAACCATTAATATCCACGAAATAACTATTACTATAATTTAATAAATATTACCAGAAAAAGTTAGTAAAAAAAAAAAATAATAAATGAATCAGAAAGAGAAGACGTTTGTCGTAGCTCGACCCATAAATAACAATACATATGTATAGTATTAATATAGGTTACAAAAAAAAATAAAGAAAAATATATAAAAAAAAAAAGAAAAAGAAAAAAAGAAAAAAAGGAATAATAAAAAAAACATTAATGCAAAGAAGATTTCAGTGCACGATCTCATATTTTTTAATACATAATATTTGCCATTCCCATTTTCTGCAGATCGTTTGCGGTTGACGAGTTAAATAAAGAAAAATAAATTTTTTAGTACGATCTGCTACGGCCATTCATACTATCCCAAAGAGGACTGATAGCCGAAAAGTTTTCCAACCATAATAAAAAAAAAGGGATTGATTGGGCGCAGGCATGTTACAGGTTTCCATGTTACACGTTCAAAATTTACGTGGCATTAATTATTATATTCGATTTATTTGGTAAGTGCCGGAAATCTCGGGGAAAATTAAGTTTAGTCATAAATCCACAAGTAATATTGGTATAGAGTAGAAATTTATCGTCATTTTCGGGAATTTAAAAGAAATTTTCCTTTAATTAAATATAATGCCAAGCCAATTTTGGCATCTATACTATATCTCAGGATAAAATGCGATTGGTACTAATTTTATTGGTACTTCAAAGATTTTTACCTTTCTATTTTGATTTTTTTTATGTATGTAATCATTAAATTAAATTATCATCTAACCTTTATTTTTACATATATAAGAGCCGAAACTTCCCAAACCTTTTTTTATCAATTTTACTATTTAATAGTTTTTAAAAACATGATTTCTACAATTATCTCATCTTTTGAAATTTCTAATATCCCTTCTCTATTGATAATTTCTTCAATTATCTATGTAACTCATTTTTATGATTGTTATTTTACTCGTCCTAACCCTTTACCAGGTCCATTTCCACTTCCAATTATTGGAAATGCTTATCAACAAATTAGATATGGAGTTGATAATTGGTTATTATCATTACATAAAAAATATGGTGATATGTATGAAATAATTTTAGCAGGTGAGCGTATGATAATACTATGTAGACCCGATTTAATTGCATGAAAATATGAATATACCTTTATACCTTCAACAAAGTCTAAATAACCTATCAGATAATACGGAAGGATTCGCGGAATATGGACTTGATGGTGTAGGAGTAGCATTAAATAATGATCTTAAATCTTGGAAATATAATCGTCAATTTTTTAGTCAAGTAATAATGACTCCAAGTTTCAATTATCAAGCTATTGAATGGACAAATGATTTATGGAATGAAATGGATTCTTATTTGAACAAACTTGGTGAAGATTATGAATTAGACCTTATAAAATGGATGCGTAGATTTACAAATGAAATGATTTTTAAAATTGCTACTGGAACGAAAAATGATGCTATTGCTTCTTATTATAATATGTTAATTAATTATAATAATAATTCTTTAAATAAAAAATTAAATGAATCTAAAAATTTCATTGAATCAATTGAAACTTATTTACCAGGAATATTTTATTTTTTCGCTTTTAATAAGTTTAGTCGTAATTATATTCCATTTATTCGTGGAAAAGCTAAGAAATTATTGAAAAATAAAGATTATTTATTTGATAAATTATACACCATTGTTAAAGAAAGAAGGATTGAGATTGAATATACACCATTAGATCAACCACTTCGTCATAAAGATCACACAAAAATTGAACATTTTCTATATCCTAAATTTAAGTTGTACAAAAATTGCATACTTTTAATATGCTTTGAAAAACTTCATAGCTATTTTTATCCAAAAATCTGCAATAATTGTACAATTTTCACACGGACTTGAACAAATATTGTACAAAAATTGGATGATTTTTTTTCATAGGGGTTTAAATAATTCTTCAGATATCAGTGACGATTTTTTAAATGAGGTAAATAACTTGTATATATAGATAACATAATAGATAGCTAGGTTGACTTAATACAGAGAATATTTTTTAGTAGAGAATTAATAACTACATTTTAAGCATTATGGAAATTTAGTCAAATGTTATAATATTTAATAAGAACAACATACGATATCATTTTGAGAAGACATGTTTTTGAAAAAATTTTTTTAATAAAAAGGTTTTATATTTCTTAGTTATCTTAGTTACATTTCGGACTAATAATTTTATGAATCTTAACCTTATCTTTTCTTTTTCGCTTAGTCTCGTATGACTAAAAATTGCTGTGATATTTTTATTATCCCATAATGACATAATCATCTTACTTAACCACATCTTGATAAAATTCATCAATACTCATATTTTCCTAAACTGGAAGTCCTTCCCAGCCAAAAACTGATTCGGAATGATATTTTACATTTTTAAATGATCTGATAATTTATAATTTATATCAATTTATTTCGTGATAATCATATGATATACAAAATACAATAAAAAAAAAATACATATAAAAAAATTCCCGTATCATTTTTAAATTTTATGAGAATCTAAAATTTTTTTTTTGCCCAGCCTAACATTTACGTAATTCGTAAAGTCTATTTTGTATTTCTGTTACATTTTTGCAATTTTACACTTTCTTGAAGAATTTACAGGACGTTGAGTATTTAACGAGTTTTGAAAAATTGGTAAAGGTGACCCAAAACATATACATTGTTAAATTTATAGCTATATTAGTTACATTAGTACTAAATTTAATCTTTTCTATTTATAATTCAAATTAATACCATCGAGCATCATCATATATTAAATTCAATTTTCTTTTCTTTGAAATATACTCAAAGAATTTAATAATCTACTAGTATAAATTGCTCCAGGGTGAGTTTTTATAGCATATTCAGGGCCAAGCTTCCTTTTTTCTATTAATTTTAGTCGTGTTGTTTCAGCTTCATAAAATTGGTCAATATCTTTTATCTTATGCACCCACATACCAATAGTTTTTCGAATTTCTTTTATATGTGGTCTTTTTGAAGAATCAGAATCCCAACATTTTTTCATTAAATTAGCAAAACATTCAGGAGTATCATTTGTTATTTCAGGTTGCTTTCCATCAATAATTTCAAGAATAAGATCAGTATAGGACCCGAAATATATATATAGAAAGGTCGGAGGCAGCCAAAAAATTTTTACTAATAGCTGTGCGCATTCTTTCAGGGCAGGAATTATGATAATTTTGGCGAGTGATCAAAAAAGGAAATATCTTTTCACCGGGAATTATCTAAAAAAGGAAAGATTTTCATGATTTTTTTTGGCTGGTTGTACAAACTCGGATCTGACCTTTTTATGGGTCCTATCAGTATCATGTTCAGAATCAGCGAAAGGTTTACAACCTGAAGTTAATTCCCACATAATCATACCCATACTATAAATATCCGATTCTTTTGAAAATGCTTTATCAATAAATATTTCTGGAGCAACATAAGGTATTACTCCATATATATTGTTATTTGATGAAGTTATATTTACAGGGCATGAATAATCCTAAGTCTCCAATGTGCCATTTATGACTTGTAGAGTATTCATTTTTGACTGATATATTTCCGCTATGTAAATCTCTATGTATATAATTCTCTTCATGAATGCAATCAACTCTAAGACAAAGCAATAAAGTTAATTAACATTATATAATAACTAATAATAATTAATAAATAAATACCCTCTTAAAATTTCTAATATAATGGCCAACTTGACATTCCATGTAATATCTTTAAAGCAATAATTATGTAAATCTCCTCCATTTGCATATTGCATTATTATCATATGGTCTCGTGTTTCAGGATCTTGTGTAATGCCATAATATTTAATAATATATTCAAATCTATTATGATATTGATCAAATGATTTTAACTAATATATAAGGTAGTTGTTGGTTAATTTAATTAGGTAATACTGTAATAGAAATAAAAGATTAACTTTACATATTTACCTCATTAATAAAATCTTTACTGATATCCTGTGAATTTAAAAATTTTTTTGCAGCAACAATACTACTACTATATGATTCTAAACTTTTATTATTCCAAGTTGCTTTATAAATAATACTGAATCCTCCTCCTGCTATTTTTTCAAAATCTTCAGTTTCAGAATACAACTAATTTTAACTTTATTTTTAATGAACTCATATATTTTTAATGTACTATTCATATATTTAGCAAGTAGAATCAAGAAATTCATCTATATTATGATTTCCATTAATACTAATAGGTTCCACTCTTTTACATTTTATACATTGAGATTGGATTGTAAACCCAAAAGTAATATTTGTTGTTAAACAATATCCACATCAAATTATAAAACAATGCAAACACCATTTTTGACGGTGAGATTTATATTTAAAATATTCTCCACAAGTTATACAATTACTAGATGTATCCCACCAAGGTAGATATAGAATTAGAATTTTTGTTTAGTTAAAATTGATTCTGTATATCCAGAAGAAACTGAATAACAATCCAAACACATGAAAAAAATTCTATATCAAGAAAATTTATACTTATTTAATATATTTCTTTTAAATTTATCATCGACATAATTTCTTTATCATATTGATCCAAAAACAACCAAATTTATAAAAATGAATGGAAGGCAGGTATTAATTAAGATTTTTTTTCCGATAATTTCTAATTAAGACAAATGCTAAATTATTATTTTAATGATTATAAAAACTACGTAACTTAAAAAATTTGATTATGTACAGTATTCCTTAGTGATTTAAACGGATTAACGGAAATCATACTTAAAAGTTAATTATGAGATATAAATAAATATAAGTGATAAGATGAAAATAAAACAAAGAACAAATTAATCACATTTATCAAAATTAAGTATAAAGTTTTCATATAGCAGTAAAGTAAAAACCAGCTATTTCGTTTATACTGTATATAATTTAAACTATTTCTTCCCTATCATACGTCAAATAAGCTATAATATACACATTATTAAGAATGTCATGCCATACGTATAAGTACTTTTTTAGTTATTACATATTGACCTTTTCTTTGATGAGAAATTTTTTTATGAAACAGATTCATATATTATATACTACAGTACATATGTGAAATTAGAAGTTATTAAATTATTATTTTTTTCTTTCATTAAAAAAAATCGGTATACAGCTTTCTAAAATAATCGTAAATTTTTTTTTTAATTAAAGAATTAATATAGCTTTAATTTAACGAGTTGCTTTTATTTAATTGGTTTTAGTTTTATTTAAGAATGTTATTTATAAGCAACAATTAAAATGTCATGTGATACATAGTAAATAAAAATGTGGGCTCAGAACAAGCTATTAAAAATAAAAATAGAATCAAAAATTAATCGTAAATTAACTTATTAGTTTATATTTTTTTTGAAAGTGTCACAGCAAATTTTTAAAAAAATCAATTTTAGAATTTAATTCAAGTTACGGTACAAAAGTTTAAAGTTTGTTTTATCAATAATGCTCATCAATCATCATGGTCATTCCTGTTCAAAAATGTTTTAATATTTTCTATTCTCGAATGTTGTGAAAAAGAGATTTACCGAGGATGACCTGTGAAGTACTAAATAAATTTAATACCAAATAATAATACCCTTTTATTCCCTTTTTATTCAATGCAATGTATACTTTAAAAATTTTCCAAATCTTTATTTTATCGATTTGTGCAACATAGAGTTTGGAACCGGATGCACCATCCAGTTTTTAAACCAGTTCCACCCGTTTTTTTACGATTCGGTTCAATCCGGATTCATGCTGCAAAAACCGGTTTGCGTTTAAAGCGAGTGCAACCGGGTGCTCAACCCGGTGTGATATTGAAACTTTATAGTGCCAGCCCGAATTACGAAATTATAAATCATGTGATACCGGATAAATAGTTTAGCCACTGGGATTTTTATCAGTTATAGAAAATTATGCTCTGGAATTGTATTACACAAGCTTTGTAATTCTGCCGAAATTATAAACTCAGCCAATTATATGCCGATCCCATTTAATTCTGGCCAAAATTACAGTGTACTGTACACTTGACAAATTCATGTGGGTTGTCGGCAAATAGAATTTTGTAATTTGTCACGTGTCCCGTACATTTTGAAATCAGTGTAAGCCAGATGCAAAAATGGAAACTCTAATAGATCATAGTAGAATTCCATAAGTTAACTGTTAATAATTGAAAACCAGGAACGTGACTTCAGATGCGGCTAACTATTACTTTATTATTTATTTATTATAATTAAACAAATATAAAACCGGGTACAAAAA